AAAGAACTAGGATTAGACACAGTGTCCAAACATACATCTTTACATACAATGTTCCACAGTTTGGCAACACGATTATAGTACGAAGATTGAAAAGTGCTTGTTCTACAAATTTGACTTTGTAGAATGTACTTTGAGGTGTTACTCAGCCGAGTTCGACCGTGACTGACAAACGAGACACAGTTACTAACATCAACATTAACATAACCAAACAAAGCCTTGTACAGATACACCAAGTCCTTAACCTCTCTGTCGAAGGTTAACGGCAGAAGGTCCAAGGCCAACAGACGTTCTTTGTAGTTCAGCTCTCCTCTTCTGCTCATCATGATCCATCGCGTCGCCCGACGTTGCACTCTTTCAATCCGCTTTGAGAGTTGGATGTTATTTACGGGCGACCAGACTTCCGTTGCGTAGCATAATTGCGATTTCACATGAGTTAAATAAAGAGTTCGCCTGGCTTTCATGTCTGTCAGTTGAGTACATGTTCGTTTCAGTACACCTAACATTTTGTTAGCCTTGGAGATGACACAATTGATTTGAAGTTCCCATGAAAGTCCGGAGGAAGTGATGACGCCAAGATCCTTTTCACTGTCAACTCGAGTCAGACTTTCTGTTCCCAGTTTGTAATCATAAGTGACAGGAGATTTCTTGCGTGTAATGGTGAGTACTTTACATTTAGAAGCATTGAAACGGATGTTGTTTTGTACACTCCAGCAATTCAGATTTGTCAACGATTGTTGTAAACATTTGCAGTCATCAGTAGAGGTAATTGTATTGTGCAATTTAGTATCGTTGGCATACAGGGCTGTTTCAGTTCCATTTTGCACAACATCTGGGAGATCGTTAATGAAGATGACAAACAATAACGGACCGAGAATACTTCCTTGAGGCACTCCAGAGGTGACTGGTGACCATGTCGAAGCCACACCATCTACAACGACTCTCTGAGTCCTACCATTCAAATAGTCTGCAAACCAACCCAAAACTGACCCTGTCACACCGTAACAACGTAGTTTCTCGAGAACGATTGCAGATACAAGACGTCCGTCTGAATATTCTTATCTAGATCATGTCCAATAGTGTGGAATACTGATAGCAGTTGAGTCACACACGAGCGTTTTCGAAGAAAACCATGTTGAGCTTGGCTAATGTGATGTAGAATGTGGTCGTGAAATCTATTAAAGTACACACAGCGTTCCAAGACTTTATTGACAATTGGCAGTAACGAAATGGGCCTATAGTGGTCTACTTATGATTGTGGTCTACTTATAAACCATACTGGAACTAACCATTGCTCAATGTGTGCTAAGTTGCTTAGGGTCGAGAATCAATGTCACAAAAGAAAACGTAATATGGATACTACAAACAATTCCTGCAACAAGAAATATCTAACAAAAAATGAAGTACAGATACAGCTGGCTAAAGCACAGTATGATAGAAAGCAATGATGAGAGAAAAGTATTGGCAAAATAAATATCATGAACAAGCCATTGAAACAGATGATGAAGATAGTAGAGACATAAAATGCATGTTTGATGTTTTCAGTTCTTGAACTTTTTTATTAGATCTTGTGTACAAATTTTGTTACTTTTTATACAAATAGCAATAACATAACACAACCGTTGACATTGTGAAAATGTTATTAATTTTGTCTTTACAAACCTTTTATGTCTTTTAAATAAATTTCATGCAATGGTTCTCATCAGCACTATTTCTAAAAACCACATAGAATGGAAAATCCTAACGGCTAATGTAGGACACTTTTATGCAATAATTAATAGACGACTATAGTTGTGCACTAGAAAATTTGGATCATAATTATTGAATCCAAGCAATTATTTTGAAAATACTATATACTTAAGGTGGCTCCCTACAGTTCTCTAAAATTCTAGGTATTTTGAGTATCGTTCGCTTTGAACCGAATTTATATTAGATACACTTAAGACAAGGCAATATGATCATTTCCAGGAAAGTTCAGAAGCTGTGTGCTGCCATTTATGAACAAATTAAAATAGTGTTTGTGTTGCTATGGCAATCATGACGTTTAATCTTTTGCACTTTTATTGTCTAATTTCACAATAAATTGACAATATCTATATTTTCCTTCGGTGAATTTTTCTGAAATTTTTTTTGAAGATTTATGGTCCATAAAGGAAAAACATATCAAAATTTGAAGGGAATTTACAAATAATTTTTCGAGATATTCGTGAATGACGGTTACAGAAAAAGTTATTTGTAGAATTTCTTAAAATTTGGATATGTTGTACCACTCGTCTTGTATAACAAAAATACAAAGTTTAAAAAAATTTCACCGAAGAAAACACGAGAAAATTATCGCTAAAATCGGCGTGGCCAGCATGAAAAAAAATCGACTCGACATGAGCACGATCTGCGCATGCGTGTAAATTGTAGCGTGTGATTTATAGTGATTTCAACTTTTTGGCTTACAATAGATACGAAAGCAGATATTTCTGACTTGTTTGATATGAAAATAAAATATTAATCTTGAAAATAGTAATAAAAAACATTATTATAGGCATTGTATTAAATCCAGTGTTAGTTTACATTTGTTTTTGTTGTTAAAATCGGTGTGAAAAGTTTTCAAAACATTGAACTACAAGTTTAACTTTTCATATAAAACAACTCATAACTGTTTTATTTGATTTAGCAGATAAAACGATACCTGTAAATTGAATTGATTGACAGAACTTATATAAGTTTCGGCAACAGTTCACTACCGGTTCAAGAGTTAATAGAAGACAGCATCATTTCAGTTTGACAGCTCGCAAAACAACAAGTTGAAAATTTTGAGCAATATGAAAGACAACACTGAACGTAAATACGTAGAAACACACTAAAAGATACGTTAAACTAGTTAATAACATACGTACTGTTCAAATTCAGAAAAAATTAGGATTATAATGAAAAACTGGGGCTTTCTTTGTGGATAAAAACGCCAAATTTTGCCGAACAGTAAACACGACGATTCCACGCGCAGGTCGCGAGGATGAAGTCTGATCTATATAAATCGTATTTAAACTGTACTAACTGTAGGGAGCCACCTTAAATTAAAAGCATTTTACCGTGTATGACTAATTAACGGAACTGCGGATCACGGAACTGCGGATCACGGAACTGCGGACCACGGAACTGCGGCACTTAATAATATCACCTTTTTCTTGTATCAATATTGTTCGTTTAATAATTTAAGCGCTTTTAGTGTTTATTTTCGCGATTCTATTCTATGTAGCCAGGGGCCGGTTGTTCAAAGGTGAGTTAGCGCTAACTCTGGGTTAAAATTAAACCTGCTGTTTTAGTTTGTGTATTTCTATACGTCTGTTTATTTCAAAACATCCGAGAACTTAACTCCTATCGATCCAGTCAAGATCTCTGAAGAAATATTTCCAAATTTGTAGACAAGCTGTCAGGAAGTTTGCTTTGAATTTTAGGTTAACCTAGGATTAAGCTAACCCAGCTTTGAACAACCGGCCCCAGGATATCTGTTTAATTGTCAATAAAAATTGTAAACATGTCATTTCTCGATCTTCTTCAGCGTTTTCACTTGGAAAGCTCCATCCAGAAACATTTCAGAGTTTGGAAGAAAATTTTGAAGTATGTGGAGGCATCGCACATCAGTGTGACCAGATTTGGTAAATTAATTCACTTTCGGTAAAGTTTTGCCCATTTTATTAGAAATTTTTGGTAAAATTAACAATCCAAACTTTGTACTTTATTTTTAGAAATATCATTTTTGCACGCATCATACTTTTCAAAACTGTAATAACACAATGACAAAGGATTAGCAAAATTCGATATCTGTTTTCAAAGTTGTTAATATTTATATTCTATATTCGTCTCACGACCCGAGTAATAGAAAATACAATATATTATAATTTGGTATTCTTGGATGCTGCATTTTTATTTTTTTTTATAGCCACAAGTAGACTATATGTACGTACTTCAACCTTTCTACTTAAAGTTTTCAGCAACTAATTGACTAATGAGTACTTATACATATCTTACAATAACTACGGTATCCCCTGTTTTCTTAATGCATATTTCTATTCAAACATTTTCTATAAAAACAAATTAACATGTTAATACTTCTTTTCCTAAAAAATGCCATTAAATAGGTTTCACCAGGATATTTTCAACTAAAAATATACTGCCAACTACAGTATTTTATTTTTATGAGTTATATCGCTGTTATGGATTTGCAATATCTTGCAGTTTTGGTTAATAAGTAACGTAAGTAATGTACAGAAGCATATAACACTCTTCTTAGCATGACAATAAGCCGTATATATGGAAGTTACAATGAGAACACCGAGAAATGATATGTTATGATTTTTATTGAAAAAACAGATATACAAAATAGACCAGAATGGTGTGAAAATATAACAACTAAAAGCGCTTAATTTTCGAAGGAGCAATGTTTATACAAGAAGGAAAAGGTGATATTATTAAGTTACGAATGTTTCGCAATTTCCGCAGTTCCGTGGTCTGCAGTTCCGTTAATTAGTCATACCCTATTTTACCGCCAAAAAATCCCGCCAAATCATTGAATTGCATTGAAATGGAACTTCACATTCTATAATTTTTGAATTGTGGCAAGTTTATATAAATTTATGGTCAATTGTTTATTTCAAACTTGAATATTGTATTGCCATCGAAATTTTAATGTAAAATTTATGTCTAACTGACCATGTAAGTACTTTCACGTCGTTTATTTATATAGTAAGCGTTATATTTTAGTTTCTGTTTATAATAAGTAAAGATGTTTACGGCAACTTACATTCACATTTTGTTTTCAATCGTCTTTACGCAAAACAGGTAGATTCATTCTAGAAAATGAGACACCTATAATGTCTAAACTAAGGGCTGTATTTGCATTTGTTCGTACTTGTTTCTATCTGTATAATAATAATTTAATAAACAAAATGGAAAAATTTGTTATTTTTGCCTTTCGCCAAGATAAAAATCACACGAAGAAACTATAATATTCTGATATTTAATAGACTTCTTGATATCTCGGCTACATGTAAACAACTGAATATATAATGTCCATATTCTAAATATAAACTAATCGTAATACGTGCGTTCGTGATTAATAGACGTACATTACTATACCATTCCCTTTGTTTTAACTTGATTGTCAAATATCAAAGTGTTTAATTAAATTTGAAGTTATTTAGCTATTTCATTGTTATGTTAGTTTATTAGATTTGATGGATATTCATGTCCGTATCGATTCGGTGGTCTTCGAATTCAGCTTGATCTTCTTGGCACTTCGTTGTTTTCATTACTGATGGATGGCTGATTGTCCTGCGAGTTTTCCTCATAATCGAAACCTTCATCATCAGTGTCTTCTTCTCGTGGTATATTTATTCGCTTGAAATGTGACACGTTCCGTTTCGCAATATGACCATCTTTACTTTGGGCAAGTATCTCTGAACCAGTTTTCTTTATCACTTTATATGGTTTGTGATTAAAATTCGCAGTTAGCTTGTTTTTCTTTTCTTGTCTAACCAGTACATAATCTCCAACTTGTAGATCACTTTTTCTTGTGTTTCTCCTTTGATTTGCATATTCTCGGTTGCGTTCTTGTCGTGTTTTCTCATTGTCTCGAGCTTCTTTATGTCGATTGACAATCTTCTTGCTGTTTATAACTGGTTATTATATAATAACTGGTTTATAACTGGTTTATAACTTTTATCACTCGGTTAAACAACAGTTCTGATGGAGGTACTCCTGTAGTGCAATGTGGAGTGGTACGATATTGTAAAAGAAAACGGTTCAATTCTTGTTTCCATGGTCGTCCTTCGAGTGCCGCTGTCTTGAGTGCTTTTCCTAACGGTCGTATAAATCTTTCAACTGTAGCATTACCTTGGGGCCAGTAGGGTGTTGAAAACTTAGCTTGAATACCAAGGGTTTTCAGATATCGTGCATATTCGTCTCCGTTAAAAGGGGGACCATTGTCAGATATAATGGTGTCAGGAATGCCATGGACTGAGAACATTTTGTCAAGTTTTGGAATGACTGTTGAGGCTCGTGTTGAATGAACGATCTCAACCTCTGGGAATCTGGAGTATCTATCTACCGCCACTAACAGATATTCAGACGATGGTAGTGGACCATAAAAATCTATGTGGACAGTTCTCCATGGTAACTCTGGCATTTCGGTCATACGTAATGGTTCTGGAGGATTCGCCTGTCCGACAGCTTGACAAGTGGTGCACTTAGCAATTGTGTTTTTTACTTGGTTGTCAATTTGCGGAAACCAGATTTTTTCACGAATTAGAGACTTCGTTTTCTCTATTCCTAAGTGTGTCTCATGTGCTATATCTATTGCACGTTGTTGTAGAGCCGCAGGAATGACAATCCGTGCTCCTCGATGTATAACACCGTGTGTGGTAGACGTAAGTTCGTTTTTTTACGGCTTTGAACGGTTTTACAATTGGGGAATCCCATTTGTTTGTTTTAATTGCATCATGGAGTACCGTTAGTGCCGCGTCTGCGTTAGTTGCATTGATTATTTCTTGTAATGTCATCGCCTTAGGGACACTGTTCTGACTTATAAAGTTAATATATTGTTCCGTCATCTTCTCCTGTTTTCGTTTGCTTTCGTTTGTTGGATGACGGGGAAGATAGTCCGCAGGGTTGCTGGCACCTGATTTATAAATTATCTTAAATGTATATGGTTGGAGGCGAAGCACCCATCTTTCAATTCGTGCTGATGTTTTGGCTGTACGTTGGCCATAAATAATTTCTAAAGGTTTATGGTCAGTTATTAGTGTAAATTCACTTCCATATAGAAATAAATGGAAATGTTCAACTGCCTATACTATCGCTAACGCTTCTTTTTCCGTCTGGGAGTATCTCTTTTCTGTATCAGTCAGCGCTCGGCTGGCATATGCAATTATCTGTTGACTGTCTACGTCACCGTTTCTTGGTTTCTGAGAAAGAATTCCAGAAATTTCTACAGGACTAGCATCAACTGTTACAAAAGTTTGTTTGTTTTTGTCGAAATATGACATACATGGAGCAATTGCAAGCGTGTTTTTCAGCTTTTCAAAAGCAGTTTGGTGTGTTTGAGTCCACTCAAAACGAACATCCTTTTTCGTCAGGTCACGAAGGGGAGCAGTTAGTGTTGCAAAATCTCGAATGTAATTACTACTATAGTTGGCCATGCCAAGAAAGCCCCTGACTTCATGTGCATTATTTGGCTGAGGTGCATTTAATAGGTCAGCTACTCTCCTAGGGTCAGGATGAGTACCTTCTTTCGAAAAGACCTGTCCGAAAAATGACAATGTAGTACTAAGGAAATTACACTTGCTTCGGTTTAGTCGTAAGCCCTTCATTGCAAGGAATATGTCTTTGAGTGACCACTCGTTTATTTATTGCATTATTAAAGCTGGTGTTCCAAAGGCACCGTCACGCGTCATTGAATATCGCTCGTATAAATTTTATGATAAAAATACTTTCCTGCAAGATCTAAGAAATGTCGATTGGGCACCTGTATATGATGCTGATGAGGTTGATGATGCAGTAAATCTTTGGTGCACTCTCTATTCCAACGTTGCTAACCAACATGCACCTATAAAAACTCAAAGAATTAAAGGTTTAAAGAACCCGTGGTTGACTTCCCGTATAACAACGATGATGCATGATCGTGACTTCTATCACAAGAAAGCTGCCAAATCTAAATGCTCTGAAGACTGGTCGAAATATCGTGATTTAAGATGTCAAGTAAACGCAGAGATCAAAAAAGCTAAAGCTACATTCTACCAGGATTCTATTAATCAAAACAAAGGAAATCCATCAGGTTTGTGGAAAACTTTAAATGAACTTACTTGTCGCAGCAGTAAGTCTGGTATCATACCAACATGTATCGAATCAGACGAAGTTATACACAGTAATCCTACGTCGATAGCAAACATTTTCAATGATTACTTCACTACTATTGGATTGAAATTGGCTAATCAGATTAAAATCACAGTTAATACCCTTATTACTCGTATCACGCCTTTAACTAATTCAAGTTTCAGTTTTATGCCTATCGATGAAGATACTGTTCACAAACACTTAAGATCGCTAAAAACAAAAAAAGCAATTGGTCTCGATCATATATGTGCGCGTCTTCTAAAAGACAGTGCTAATGTGACTGTCCCATGCCTAACTCACTTGTTTAACAAATCATTATCTTCATCGAAATTCCCAACGGTATGGAAAAAGGGCACAGTTGTACCAATATTCAAGTCTGGAAGCAGGTCGGATAAAAGTAACTATAGACCAATTACCATCTTATCGGTGTTGAGTAAAGTTTTTGAAAAAGCTGTCCATTCCCAAGTATATAACTATCTTCAGACCAACAATATATTATCGGCTAATCAATTTGGTTTTCGTCCGGGTCTCTCTACAGATGTAGCTTTGACCCAACTTACCGAAAATATTCTGGATAGACTTGACAATGGTCTTGTTACCGGTGCAGTCTTCTTAGACCTTAAGAAGGCATTTGACACCGTCAATCACGAGGTGTTGCTTTCAAAACTAAAGTCTGTTGGTTTGGATACAAGTGCTGCTGAATGGTTTAGGTCCTATCTGTGTAATCGTGAACAAGTTGTCTCGGTCAACAACTCTTTCTCCGATTCTCGACCAATCAGAATCGGTGTTCCTCAAGGGAGCATATTGGGACCGTTGCTATTCCTGGTCTATGTGAATGATTTCCAACACTGTATTAAACATTGCAAAGTCATACTTAACGCGGACGATACTTTGATTTATGTTTCTGCGAAAACGGCTAATGAAGTTGAAACTTTTCTAAACGAAGACTTCAATCAGTTGCGGAATGGCTTTCATCCAATTTGCTTACGCTTAACTGTGAGAAGTCAAAACTCCTTCTGTTTGGAAGTAAACAACGGCTTAAATAATTTAATAGCATCTCCATAAAAGTGAATAATCAGGCAGTCGGACGTGTGAATTCGTTGAAATATCTTGGGGTGACTTTCAATGAAGATTTGTCGTGGAGCGACCATATCGAGAATATTATTTCGAAAACAAACCAGCGATTGGGTCTGCTTAAGAGAATCAAACATTTGTTACCAACTGATTCCCGACTGACACTCTTTAGTTGCCTTGTTCTCCCTTTATTTGACTATGGGGATGTGATATGGGGTGACAAAAATAATATATCATTGATGAACGATTTACAAGTCCAACAAAGTAAAGCAGCAAAAATTATATTGAACAAACCAATATCCTTTTCGTCAACAGAGGCTCTGTCAACTCTAAAATGGAAACGACTGAGTGAAAGAAGACGTGCCCATCGATGCATCTTAATTTTTAAATGTTTAAATAATCACATAAACTTTGACTTTAATTTAGTATATAATAGCAGTATTCTAATTATAATACTCGACAGAGTTGCTTTCTTCATTTACCCAAGACAAGGACAAATTGGGGTAAACATAAAGTCACTTATGCTGTGTATGACTATAACAACCTTGAGTCGGATTGTCAAAATGCCCAGACAATATCTCAATTTAAATCCAAAGTTTTTGACTGTCGGCCATGATGTACTATTGTTCTTCTCGACTTTTAAACTTTTACCAGTTCAGCAAGTATACTATTGTAATGATAGATAATTTATGATATTTTTAACTTTTGACCACATGTAAATAGATTAGATATAATATTCTTCACTTTGTATAATTCTAGTTCTATAGTACAGGTCCATTCTGAAAATCACTTCTGTGAGAATGCCTCCTGAATAAAGATTGTTATCATCAAAAATGCTGATATCAGCAAAAATTGATAAACAAAATGGCAATACTCGTACCCGTAAACCGGAACCGTGGTATCTTAACCTGTCTATTATTGTAATGTTCGTCCTTTCTTGTAAACGTTGATACGCTTTGTACCGATTCACTTGTTACTACGCGTCTTGTTTATAAGATTTTTAAAAGAAACAGTATTGTCTAGGACTGACCCAATATTAGCAAATATAAACATTTGATAATAGCCGAACAGAGAAATGCCTGTAAGTATAGAGGAAATTTCAGTTATTGGTTTATCTGGATTTAGTACATAATTCGTATTCGGTAATTATAGTAACACTTTAGCCATTTTTGTCTCTATTAATCATTATATTGTGTTAACATACTATAATGTATATCACAAATTTACAGTGTCAGATGCGCACAGCTAGACCGTCATTGGCGTCATACGAATAGACTACATTTTCGAGTTTTCTAGCCTACTTCTACTCACATTTTTAAAGTTTTCGTTGTGAATCACCTGTTTATCTCTAATTCATTAATCATTTACTACTTATATTTATTTGATAGTGTCATTATACTGAATAATGCGTTTACACACAAGCAATCCTGGATATGATACAGCTTGGCAGCTGTCCATTAAAAAATAACGGTACTCTATTTCACAAAGCAAAAATTTAAATCTCACTTGTATTATTAAGAATGCATATAAGCAAAAATTTAAAGCTTATTAATTTCAAAACGAAAGCTGTTTACAAAATTTATATAGGTGGTGAACACTACTAAACAGTGCTCATTGAAAGACATGTATAATATGGTGACATATAATTTGTCGTTTGACTTATCTGTGGTGTATGATTTTAATACCGTAGATTTTCAACAGACAGCTATACTTTGACATATACCATAATCGCTGGTTTCAGCAATGCCAAGGGCCAATTTTATAGTCTTTTGACGGGCTTTAAGTTTTTTTGATAAGGCCTTTACATAGATCAACAATCTGGATACAGTTGGCGATATTTCGGAAATCAAAAGATCTCGCTATTTCGTTGCAATTCCACATGCCATCAATAAATAAATTCTCTTGGTCCGAGTATCAGATAGACATTAATACTAAATAAATAACAACCACATTGTTCGGTCTAGAACCACATTGTTCGGTCTAGAGATATATATTTTCTTGTAGGTTTAATATCGCCACGCTGCACAAGCGGCAAGCGTGCTTTCTTTGGCAAGTCTATAAGTTGAATATTGAAATCTGATCCAACTTGCTTGAATTGTAACTCGACACCAGATTATAGAGTAGAGCGTCACGATATAAATATTAATTTAACTCAGGTGTTAAAAATCAAAATTTCAACTTTTTCCTCGAACAGGTCCGAGCGAAAATCGAAAATTTCAGCTCTTGATAAATAACCTTAAAAATTCAAATTTCAACTTTTATCCGAAGTGGTTCAAACCAAAATCGAAAATTTCAACTTTTCACAAGGGTTTTAAAAATCGAAATTTCAACTTTTTCCTCGAACAGGTCTGAGCAAAAATCGAAAATTTCAACTCTTCAACATAGCCCTAAAAATTCAAATTTCAACTTTTTCCTCATAGCGGGTCAAGCCAAAATCTAAAATTTCAACTTTTCATTCGCGTCTAAAATTCGAAATTTCAATTTTTTCCTCCAACAGATCAGAGCGAAAATCAAAAATTTCAACTCTTCCTCATAGCCTTAAAAATTCAAATTTCAACTTTTATCCCGAAATGGTTCAAACCAAAATCGAAAATTTCAACTTTTCACACGGTTTTTAAAAATCGAATTTTCAACTTTTTCGTCGAACAGGTCCGAGCGAAAATCGAAAATTTCAACTCTTGATAAACCGCTTGAAAATTCAAATTTCAACTTTTTCCCCGAAGTGGTTCAAACCAAAATCGAAAATTTCAACTTTTCACACCGGTTTTAAAAATCGAATTTTCAACTTTTTCCTCGAACAGGTCCGAGCGAAAATTGAAAATTTCAGCTCTTCATCATTGCCCTAAAAATTCAAATTTCAACTTTTTCCTCATAACGGTTCAAGCCAAAATTTAAAATTTCAACTTTTCATTCGTGTCTAAAAATCGAAATTTCAACTTTCCTCCAACAGATCAGAGCGAAAATCAAAAATTTCAACTCTTCATCATAGCCTTAAAAATTCAAATTTCAACTTTTTCCTCTCAGCGGTTCAAGCCAAAATCTAAAATTTCAAATTTCACAGGTGTCTAAAAATCGAAATTCCAACCTTTTCCTGGAACAGCCACGAGCGAAAATCGAAAATTTCAACTCTTCAAAATAGCCTTAAAAATTCAAATTTCTCAACCTTTTCCCGAAGCGGAACAAACAAAAATCGAAAATTTCAACTTTTCTCTAGGTTCTTGAAAATCGAAATTTCAACTTTTTCGTCGAACAGGTCAGAGCGAAAATCGAAAATTTCAACTGTCCAAAAACAGCCTTAAAAATTGAAATTTCAACTTTTTTCCCGAAGCGGTTCAATCCAAAATCGAAAATTTCAAATCTTCAACAACAGCCTCAAAAATTCAAATTTCAACTTTTTCACAGAAGCGCACCAACTATAATCGAAAATTTCAACTTTTAATACGGGTCTTAAAAATCAAAATTTCAACTTTTTCCTCGCACAGGACCGAGCGAAAATCGAAAATTTCAGCTCCTGATAAATTGCCTTAAAAATTCAAATTTAACTTTTTTCCCGAAATTGTTCAAACCAAAATCGAAAATTTCAACTTTTCACACGGTATTAAAAATCGAAATTTCAACTTTTTCCTCGAACAAGTCCGAGAAAAAATCGAAAATTTCAACTCTTCATCATAGCCTTAAAAATTCAAATTTCAA